ATGGTGTGACAGCTATTTCCATCCAAATGATGTTTCTTCTCCTGGCGATGGACTGTTGAGTGAATGCTTGTGGGGTGACAGGTATGCAATGTTGGTCGACTGAAGCGAGTCCCACTGGTCACAAATGGGTCGGACACACCTTGTTGGTTCCTCTGGATCGCCCGACTGCCTGCTAAAATGCCGAACAACAGACTGAAGGTCCAAGCGCGGTGAGGCCGAAAATGTGGAAGTTTCCGGGTGAACCTTCAGGGAGTGAATGCTGACTGCACGAGTTGACACGCCTGCCCTACAGGGACTTGTGCGAACACTGCGTGAAGTCGAAAGGTCGCGAAAAGCATGCGCCCAAGAATGGCCGACAGCCGGTGATGCAGATTGACTTCTCCTTCCGGTCAATGGAGAATGAAGGGTGAAGAGGACCATCTTGAATGCAACTGATGTGCAGACTGGCTACTCAATTCAATGGCTGTAGTTTTTTCCTGCAAAAGGTAGTGTTGAGACATATGCCGTAGCCGAATTGTGCAGATTTGTGTTTGAGATTGGTAGGACGTTTGGGATTGTTCAGTATGATGAGAATTCTCTGAAGTCGGCTTGCGTTCGGTCAGGCCGCCGGGCCACCAAAGAAAGACCCGAGCGGGCTTGGGATGATCATCGTTGACCACATGCTTCTCCATCGCCCGCACCAGCTCGACGGGAAGGCGACTGCTCCCTTATAACTTTTTCTCGGGAGCTTTCTTGGCTGACATTGATGTGGAATGCCACCCACTTGATCGCCATCCTCAAAGACGGCAGCGCCGTGGGACCGCTTTCTCGAGCGTCGAGCTCCACTGAGTGCTTCAAGATCTTATCGTCGGCGCTTCTCGGCGTTCTCCAAGTCGAGCCTCAGGAGTAGAAGAAGTAGCCGAATTGCCCGGCAGCTTTGCTCTCGACTTCGGGGCGAGCGGAGCCGCTAGTACTCTTGTACGGCCTGCAATGAGGAGGTGAATTTCGTGCGGGAAACGGCCTTCGGGCTACAGCTTTGTCCAAAAGCATGAGACATCTTGGAAGCGTTGCGATGGATGCAGAGTATTCGTGCTTGGGTGGATGGCGGGATGCTGCAGTTCAGAGCCGAGAGTGGGATGCAAAAGGGCGCTCTGGCCGAGGTCTCCGTGCAGGTGCAAGGGGACTCGCTTGCCCTCCGACACTCCGGATGTTCAAAGGACAGCGCCGTGGGAGAATGTTGGGTGCCGTGTCGACAGGCTCCACCTCCAACAAATAGGACCAGGCATCCTTGGCATACCAATGCGTGTATCATCAGAAGTTACCTCATGGACATGAAGACCCGGGACTATGCCAACTGGTGTCGAGAGGCCCTAGACCTAGACCGCTGCCATCTTCAACGAATGCGGGGTCGAGGGCCTGCGTGATCATTGCTACCTCCAAATGCACCCTTGGCCTCAGAAGTTTCGTGGATCGAGGGGCTGCGGCTCATGGGAGATGCACATGAACGGGGGGCATACGAGGCTCTGCGCAGGAATTTGGATGCCACGCTTGCCGGCGCCGGGGAAACCGGTTTGCGCACGGCTACTTGGGTGGCTAGCGCCGGGCTGAGTGCAAACCAGGCCGTTCATGCCGAACATTCTGCGAGTCCGAAAAAGGAGGTCCAGAGGGGTCCTCCGACGTCCTGGGGCAGACACTTGGATCAGGTCGCCCGCGTTCTCCTCGTCGTTCGCCATCTCCTCCACATCGCGATGGCTGGTCCGCACGTCAGACAAACACTTGGATCAGGTCGCCAGGATTCTTCGTCGTCCGCCATCTCCTCCACATCATCCGGACGGTAAAGCTCCGAACTGGTAATCCTTCTTTCCGCATTCCTGAGAAATCCACCGCATAGCCCCCGTGATGTACGGCGAGGCCCTGGCAGCAAGGTGCTGCAGGCTGAAACACGTCATGGTGTGGAAGATGTCGTTTATGCCGTGTACTCCATATTTCTTCCCCTTGCATGAAGTCCAGATGAGGGCTCGAAGCGGGAAGAATGGAACTTGGCTGGTCTGAGCATGCCGTCAGCAGTGAGAATCCGGTGCTTTTGCCAGGGCTCACGAGAGGCTGTTCACCCCAGCCCAAGCACAGAAGCATATTCCATTTTTCTTGCAACGACTGCCAGCCATGTACGAAAAGTCTTCGCTCAAGCTGTTTGGCAGCAAGAACGAAGTGATCAAGTACGGCTTGAAGCTGATTGTATGGAGCGACCTATGCATTAGAGCCCAACTGTACTTCAACATCACTTTGGGAGGGAAAACTGCAATCATGTACAGCAAGAGTATCTTTAATGTCCTCTCGGACCTGCTCTCGCAGAAAGCGGGTGCTCTCGAGAGGCTCCGACAGATCGCCCGAAAA